CCAGCTTCGACATCCCAACTCGTTTTGACAACCCCCCCCGCCCCCGATGTGCCGAATATCGTGACCGTACGTCGAGCGGTTAAGATTTGTGCCCAACTGTTGACGGACGGATGGACGCTCGCACGGACAGACGATCATGCGATTCTACAAGCTGCATCTGACTATGTCAGATGAGCTAAAAAGCTATAAATGTTCAGCACTGACCTATTTTTGATTTCCTTCAAATCAATATGTTCATAGCCAACAGACATAGTTCCTATTACTCGTAGCTGTGGTCCTGAAACATAAATAATGTAGTCTGACATGATAACATTTGTTTAAAGGGAAACAATATTATATGAATAAGCATATTTTAGATTAAAGTAGGTTTAAATAATTATGCTTTATAAAATGATTTGCATTATTTAACTTTTCTGCTGCAGGCTATATACAGACTGAAATTCGATCAAGTAAATAATCATATACAATACATACAAAAATATACTTTCTATCAACTTAAAATCCTATTGATTTAACGTCCTACCAGCTGCATCTAATAGTTCGGCATCGATTTTTTCCGTTAATTTGCAGAATAAAGCATCGATTCCCTTCACACGTCCAAGGAACTCTTGGCGAGGTATGACGACATCGGAAGACCACTGACTCACTGTGCACCCACTGCAAACAAAAATTATTACTTTAAATGTTGGCTTAGGTGCAGCTATACCTAGACACACCAAGTAAAATGTGGGTTAGGTAGGGTTAACCAACTTCAGCTAGATATAACCCTAGACCTAATTAAATTATAATATTATACTATATCATGTTAGATAGTATGAGTTAAACATGCGCATGTGTCAATTTTGTTCTGTATTACTGAATGAGAGTCACGAACATGATTTATATATACGTGTATACGATGTGTTCTGTGCTTGCACATTTTCCATATATCATGTCACAGTTAACCATACTCACGTTTAGACAGTTATAGAAAAACAAGTGCCGCAGAGCGACAGGGCTCATCTGGTGTCTGGTGTTCTGCTGATAAATTCATTTGTGCATAGCAAGACGTTATATATATATATATATATACATATATTTAATAACCTTACATTTGATTAAGGATATATTAACACAGGGTTAGACACTAACCATTTTAGTTCATTTAGTCTACAGGACTAGTAAAAGAAAAAATGTACTAGTCCTTCCAAGATTCTACTAGTCCTGCCGAAGGACTCTTACTAGGCGCAGAGCGACGAGAATTGTGATTTGCCAAGAAGTAGGTGGGGTAGGAGGGTGGAGCCCGCCCCCTTCTGCTAGGGGGTACAGGGGGTCTCTCCCAGGGTACAAGGGGTGTCCCCCAGAAAGGTTTTGTAAAAGACATTCAATTGTATAAAATACATGTAACTTTGATATGGATCATAAAATTTAAATTTAAATTAAATAAAATTTTAATTCGAAAATAAAATTTCGGCCTCCTTTGATGAGGAATCTGTGGATCCGTCACTTATCACAGCAAGGAATTTGGCCTCATTTATAGCTACAAACTGTTCCCGGCGCTTTGTATCGGCTATAGCCGTAATCAAGAGCAGATAATACACTGTATAATGTACAATGTACTAATATATGTACTGTATAATGTACTAATGACAGTGTATTATCGGCTATAGCCGTAATGAACAGGCCTTGTCAGTGAGGTAAGTGCTGCCGACATCTAACCCCTTGGCCTTGTCAAGCTGGCACAGATTGACGTAATCGGTGTAGGACCTGCCGTTTTTTCCAATAGCATGTGCATTTCTAATGGGGTTCGCCATTTACTAATCGCTGGATAGATGGCGCGCGTGCGCTGTCCGGTATCACTGCTAGTGCTAAACAATGGCGTCTAGTTACGAAGGAAAACCCGTAAATGAATTGAAATCAGAGTTGCAAAGTAGAGCTGCAAAGACATCTGGGAGAAAAGCTGATCTGCACGTACACGTACGCTTGCATGCGTGTGCACGTACACGTGGGTGCGTGCGTGCGTGCGTGCGTGCGCACGTACACGCGTGTGCACGTCACGTGCGCGCGTGCATGGGCGCATGGGTGCGTGTGCACGTACACGTGCGTGCGTGCGTGTGCACGTACACGTGGTTGCGTGCGTGCGTGTGTGTGCACGTACACGTGCGGGCGTGTGCACGTACACGTGCGTGCGTGCATAGGCACGTACACGTGTGTGTGTGTGTGTGTGTGTTGTGTGTGTGTGTTGCGTGTGCACGTACACGTGCGTGTGCACGTGGCGGGCGTGTGTGTGTACGTGCGTGTGCACGTACACGTGCATGCATGTGCATGTACACGTACGTGGGCACGTACACGTGCGCGCGTGCGTGTGTGCACGTACACGTGCGCGCGTGCGTGGGTGCGTGTGCACACGTACACGTGCGGTGCACGTCCGTGCGTGTGTGCTCGCGTGTGCACGTACACGTGCGTGTGCACTTTCATCACCTCTTTTGATCGCCACACACCATTTCAATCTCAGTCTGGGTCACTTGGGCCCCCACTGTTTCGCGAACAGGCATGGTTCTTGGCCATTTCTTTTTGCTAGGATGTTTCGTGCCCCTCGGAAGCATCATGTGCTTTAACAGTTTCCAAACGATAGTTTGTAGTGCCGGAGAAAAAACTACCAGACATACAGCCTGCACCACAGGTCATACCCTTGGCTGGGTCATGGCTGGAACGCACGCATCCTTTTCGTCTTATCATAGACACGCTGGCCATCTAATTAATTTCTCCTCCTGCGATTTACGTTTGGGAGGTGGAGGGGAGCGCCGTCCAAATACTTTCACATAACAACCTTGTTAATAAATTATACTATTGGATAAGGATGTACCTACTATTAGCTTCACTAGTATTTGTATAGACTGCTTCAAGTAACACACGCATGCGATGTGGTTGCGATGTGAATACCTCCCTATGAGAGCGCTATAACTGATTAGTTGCGTCATTTCTACAATCATACGTTTGTTCTATGTCAACAGCTACTATCAAGCGATCGATTGGTAGACTGGGTTCGTGGCCCCATTGTTTAAAGGAACAGTAGCCTCTAGGTTCTAGGTTATTTTCAGCTAATTTAGGTTATAATTGCGCTACATAAAA